TCTCCCTCTCTGATTTCATCTTGCTTTATTTTTCCTGGGTTTGTTTCTTTTAGTAACTAGAATCATGTTGTATGTATTGTTCTTTGATGTGCTTGTTAGAATGTTCTCAGCCTAACACACTCCTTTTATCCATTATATATGCCACAGAATTAGTCTATTTTCTATACATGTTGTTTGCTCCTGGCTCCAGCTTATAGTGACTTGTTCAGCTTCCTAGAGGTGTTAAGCAGTGGGATTTCATGGGCTTTTTCTCCCCTCTCCCCTAGGCCAAGGGTGGTTAAACTGGAATTCATGGATGACCTTCATGGAGCCTGGAAGATTCTTGAAATTTGGTGTTTTAAAGGAATTTCTTTGGGGAGGGATTCTTACAGGGATCCATATCACCTCAAAACGCTGGAAACCATTGCCCTTGAACATTACATAAACTGAAATCAGAATTGACTAATCTTTATTAATAATACACTTAATTAATAATACATTTAGTTCCTTAGAGATTGACACTATACAATAATTTCTACTGAGAAATCACAGAACACAAGTAGACTTCACCATAAACCACCCCTTTTCCCCTCTCTACTCTTGCCTCCCCCACCATGTTTTAAGGTCCTGATTCATTTGGGCTTTATAGTTATGTATCCTTTGCTAGATATGTATGCTTTGAGCCTAGCATGCTTAATGCAAATGTTTTTCATTGTATGCAAAACTATATAGGTAATTCTTTGCATTTCAGATGAAAACAGCTTACAGACATATAAGGTGAATATCACTTAGGCAGAAAGGGCATACATATCAATAAAATAACGATTTGAACTGAACAGGAATAAACCTATGTAGATTAATACATATTCTCAAAATTGCAGATTGTAATTCAATCAAGAAGTAGGGGCCTTTTGACGTTTATGAACATTTATAAATTGTATAAGAACTCTGAGATTAAATTTTTAGTCTTAATATTAAATTTGGGATAGGTATTATTGTTTTTCATTAATATATAAAGACGACAATTATATCCAATAAAATCTTCAATTTAACTTGGCTTTAATTTGTCTTAGACTGTGACATACACACTGTGATTTTTCTCTCCATCTTGGATTCCTGTCATTGGCAGTCTGTGTGTCACTTGACATCCCGGAAAGACATCTCTTCTTCATTCCAGACCTTAGATATATTAGTCAATCTGGGTACAATTTACATTGATCTCTTTGGTCACATCAAAAATTTAACTTTGATTGATAAACTTTTATGAATAAATGCTCCTAGAAATTTGAAAAGGAAAGTTACGTGCTCAGATATAAGAACATAAATGCTATAGTTTTAAAAAAGCATAATGTATTATTGAGAGTTATTGGGTTTATAACATGCAACAGAGAAATGATAAGTGAGCATATTTCATAGATAACCACTAATCATATTTTTCTCCTTTTTCACAAAGGTTGGGGGAAAAAGCAAGCTCAAAAAAGTTGGGAAGGAAGGAAAAAAGGGAAGGGGGAGAGGGGGAGGAAGGAAGGATATTTTAAAAATAGGTTGGCGCAATGGTCTAGGATCCTGGCTTATAGAAGGGACTAGAATGTAGCAAAACTTAGAACATTAAAATCTTTGAAGACTAGTTAATCTTCATATATTTTTCAACTGTGTGTGTGTGTATGTACTTCCAATGAATCATACATAATCTAATTATCTTGCTTAAAGTTTTCATTAAACTCATCAATTTTGTGAAAGCATTGGAGACTCCCAGCCTCTCTTGTGTTAGCTTACATTATGATCCAGGCTGCAGATTTTCACCTTAACTCTTATTGTTCAAGGAAGGAAGCACCATCCTTCATATTGACATGTGCATAGACAGGGTTTCGCATTAGCTATAAAGAGAAAATTTTTCCTTTGTAGGAACTTCTATGATAGTGCACTTGTCTAGAAGACTTGTTTAGTAGTGAAATCTCTTTAATCAACAGGTTTGTTTGTGTTTGCTCTAGCCTTGTTCTATGCTGCTAACTTATATAATCATATCCCCTACTTGATCTCTTTTAGTATGATTTGTTTTGCATATTTCTGGAGACCTTCTATGAAGTGGTTAAAATCATGGTGTCAGAGAGGCAAGAATTCAGTCAGCATACATTAAGTCCTTAACATATCCGAGTAGGGTATGGGTAGAGAGACCTGCTTTGTTTTCTCAGTATCCCTGTTTGTTTTGTTAATCTCTCAGGGATCTTTTGTTACTTCAGTTTTATTTTTCTATAATAGAAGCTGTCAAAACAGTGGTGAGCAGGCCAGTCTCATCATAACTCATTTGGCTTATGAGTTGAAGATTACAAAGGAGAATTATCATATTTGAATACAGAAGGAAAAGCTGTTAAGATCAACTGCCCCAAACTTGGGGTTTTCATCATTAGAGATGGGTTTTGGGAGAGAGATGTTTTCATTTAAAATCATTCTGTCAGAGGGGACACTCCTAGGCCGGAGAGAAGGGGCTGAGAAGGCGGCATGCAGTCCTCCATCCTCACCAAGCCAACACGAGGCTGAGTCGTATCAGGTCATCTGCTGAGGAGAAATGATGTGTGGAGGGTTACCTCTGTCCAGAGGATCTTCTGGGCATTAAGCATACTGAGTTTACCTTAAAAGAGCCAAAGTTTATCATCAGAATTTTATTCATCTTTGTCAAAATTAGTTTAAATGTGTACTATACAGTAAAGCCTTTACCTATTCTCCTCAGTGCTGCCCAATAGATATTTATGCAGTGTTAGAAATGTTCTACCTCTAAGACAGCCACCAGACACAGGTGGTTATTGAGCCCTTGAAATGTGGCTGGTGTGACAAAGGAACTAAACATTTCAGTTTTTTATTCAAGTTTAACTAATGTAAATAGATAATATATAGAGTGGCTACCATATTGAAGAGTGCAGCTCTAGAAAATAGCCATACCATTTGGATCAGAATGAAGTTAACGAAGAAAGAGGTTGGCACTCCTTGTGCCTGGAAATACTGTGTTGGTCATATAGCAGGAGGTCACACCTTTGGAAAATTTTATGGGACTGGATCTCTTTTTTTCCCTTAGGCTACAGGTAATAAAACAGGCTCCTACTGCCCATCCTCAGGAGCAACCAGTTCTGTCTATAACTTAGATTGGTTTTCCTTCTCCCTGTGGTATCTTGGGGTTTATTTTTAATTCTTTGTTTTTGTTTTTGTTTTTCCAGTTCTGTGACCATCAGTCTGTGGCCTGCCCCTTCTCTCTATGTAAGTAAAAGTGGTTTCTTTACTTTTCAAGAAGGCGTCGCATTGGGGAAATTCCATCTTTGTTGGCATGTTTTCTCGTTGTCTTTGTTGTGGTTTCCTGCATTTCTTTGCTACCTGTTAGCTTCCTTTGGGTTTGGTTCAGTGCTGTTGGTGGTCGTAGTAGTTGCCATCCATGAGGGAGCTGAAAAGACTGGGGCCTTAGGCATTGGACTCCTATAAAGACTGCCTTTCACTCAGCCGCAGCTGCTGTTTGCAGAAGTCACTGCTCCTCTACCCTGGAGCTTACATTCCTCAGCTAGATATCTTCAACAGTTGGGCTTTGGGTCCAATGTCAGTAAATGGGCAATTATTTTTTCTTCGGTTACACACCCATCTCTAGGTCCAATAGTTTTTAATTTCAACTTCTGGGTCAGAGCTTTCATTTATGGACTAAATTTCCAATACCCTTTTACTCAAGAAGTACAAGCATGAACCATCAGGCTGGATCCATTTAGGCTAAAATTGTGTCTGTCATCAGAAGTCCAGAAAAAAGAGAGAGAGAGAGAGAGAGAGAGAGAAATCTGACATTACATGTGCTAAGAGGGGTATGGAAGGTACTGTCCTTTTTTAGAAAAGATGAGAAGTCATTTGAAAAGAGAGGGAAAAAAAAGAGACAGAAAACTTGATTCCAGGTGAAAAGAGAGAACATTTGTTCTTTAAAGCCTAAACCAGGCTGCACGGAATGGGTTGGTAAGTTTTATGTCGGGCTGCTCATAAGAGTTTCTGCAGCAGTGAACCCAAATAATCATAGTTACTCACTACATGAGACGCCGTCCAAACATGCTACAGGTCCAGGGGCAGTCACCTTACCTGATAAATAAGCATCTGCATTCTTCCCAGCTGTTTCAGGCTCTCTGATGAACCCTGTCCCCTTTTCGCAACATCTGTCTTACTTCGCTGACTTCTCACTCTGAGGTATTTCTTGTGTGGTAATCATTTGCACAGAAAGGGGGTTCCCCTGGCTTGCCTGCATGTGCATGGCTTCCACTAACATTCCTAGAAGGTAGTTGCAATTATATTCATGTGAGCAGAATCCCCCAAAGGACGGACTGTAAGGCTAAAGTCCAAAGTGACAGCCATTTGACAGAGAAAGGAGATTGGCAAAACTCCCCAAAGACGACGGGGACTGTGTGTAATGCATTTATACAGCAGGGGCAGATCTTCCCTGCCCCTGACAAGTCTTGTTATTCCTTATTCTCTGTGTTGATAGAGCAGGTCTGTCAATGCTTTGGTGGGTGTCAATGTGCATGCTTATGGTTACCGCTTTCTATTTCCGCATCCCTACTTCAGTTACCCAGCACTGCATATTTCTAGTCCTCCGGCTGGCAAATCATTTTCGTTACAGTTCTTTTGTGTAAAAACAGTTCACATAATAGCTCCGTGTTAGACAAGGCATTAATCCTCCCATCACCAGGGATGAGTCAGCACGGTGCACTCCTGCCCGCACGGCTCAGCTATTATGACGTCAGCACTGTAGGGCAAGCCTCAGACACAAGCAGTACAGGGGACTGGAGACCTGTGTCATAGATTAGAAATCGAGGGGGAGACCTTTGAGATAAAAACGTAATTGAAAAGCTGTTTCTGGCTCATAGGAAAATGTGAAACTGATTCTATGCTACATCAGCCATTAATCAGGCAGCTTCTAGAGAGATCCTAGTTTTTAACCAGAGACAGACAGGGCTGAGAGAATGACCTGTAATGGGCTGACAGCCCATTTCTATACCCACTAACCTTGTCTCACCCCCCAGGCCAGGCTTCATGCTTGCTTGGGTTGTTCCAAATCCTGAGGCTACTTTTATTTCAAGGGTGACACAGCCTGTGACAGTCCTGCTGTCCTCGAGTGCCCCACAGGCACAGCTGATGGCTCCAGGGGTGGTGCCCCAGATACCTATCAAAGGTAAAAGAAAGGTTTCTTGGGAACAGATCAGAACATTATCTCCCCAGTGTTTCTAGTTCCCCAGTGCCTCTTCAATGGCCTTCTCCAGACAGGTGCAGAATTCTGCCTTCTCTCCCAGGCACTATGTTTAGTCAAAAGTCCCAATCTGGACTTGACACAGATTTCAGTGGGAACCAAGCAGCTTCCAGATGTTCCCCCCAAGAGTTTCCATCCCATTACTCTTTCGCAGAAACAATGAGAAGCCCTCCATATCCTGCCACACTGCCTTAAAGCAGGTAACACAGACTTAGCCTATTTGAGAAACCAAGTTATTTTAAATTAGACCTCTCTACAGTTCAGACTCAGATTCATTCTCAGAAGAATATCTTTCAGTATTGAAAACTCAATATTGCAAAGGCTGAAAATTCACTGTCTCAGTGACATTCTCTGCTAACGAGACATTCCTCCATCCACACCTCTGTCCCTCACTCTTCCTTTCACCCTGTGATAACGATCAGAAAGTGCCTTACTGCCGCGATCATCTGCCTTCATTAGATTGCTAACAGGCTCCATGCTTAGCTTATAGAAGCTAATGCTACTGCTGGCTTAGTTTTGATTAATTACCATGCACAGCTCTTGTTTTTTCAGTCAACAAACATTTATGGAAAACTAGTCACTGTGCTTGGTTCCTGGAACACCAAGATAAATAAGAAATTCTCCCTGTTGCTAAGAATCTCACAGTCTGGTAGGGATGATACATAGTAAATAAAGGCTGTAGCATGTGGTGGACACTGGACTGGAGGCGTCACAAGATGTAGCAAGAGGAACCAAAAAGGAGTGCCTACCTGCAAGCTGGGTCTAAAAGTCTGCAGAATTATTGCAGTTTACCAAGTCAGTGTAGGGGAAAGGAAAGAAAGGGAGATTATAATATGGAAAAAGCAAGAGCATTTTCAAAGTCAGGAGGTGTTGAGCAGCAGCCAGCTCTGGAGGACAGTAGTTCAGTGTGGCCGAAGCATGGTGGGAGATGAGGCTGGAGAGCAGGTAGAAGACAGATTGTGGAGGGTCTTGGAAGCTGTGTGAGGGAGTTTGGATGTGATGCGGCAGGCTTGAGGAGGCTTTGAAGAAATTTAAGCTGATTTATGTTTTAGAAAAGAGCACTCTGACCATGTAGAGACGGTTGATTGAGAAAAGAGAGACGAGGTCAAAGGTAAAAACCAAGGGCTTGGACTGTGCAGTGGGGGGTGGGAGCAGAGAGGAGAGGCCTTCTGATAGTGTTGACATAGACACTGACATCTGCGTGATGACAGCATATCTTGGCCTAGTGCACAATCCTTGCCTTCTAGGAGAAAGGTTGATGTGTTGTGTTGGGCCAAATCAGACCAAAGCACTCTATAGGAGACAAGAATTTGAATCTGACCTCACACTGAGCTTCTGCCTGCTGGTCTCCAGAGAGGTGTGACTCCTTCTCCCCCAGTAGATTTGGGGGAGTGTCAGACAGATAAGGAAGAAGCCATTTCCAATGTCTTGCTTTTCATTTCTTTCACCTGAAATCAAGACATTTCTTAATAATATCCTCCTAAAGTTGAGCAATACCCAGTTTCCTATCATCTTCCTATGCTGTCTTTTTCTAAGAAGTTCCAAGCCATTGAGCTGAATGGCAACGTACATGCTGGTGGTGTTGAAATAGTTCGGTATGTCTCCTACTTGTTTCTGAATTAGAGTTCACCATAAATGTGCTTTTCTCTTGTTCACTTTGGGCTGCCAGGACAATTTAAAGGAAATTTTCAACAGCTTATGTTTTGTGGACCATGTTCTCTTTTGCAAATGGGAGGGTTCATGTGGGTGTGTTTAAGTCTTCTCTATATTGCTTTCTGGAGAAAGGTTTGAGAAGATGAACAAGATGAGGAGTAGGGACCTATTGAAAACCCAAGTCCCCCCAGTGACCTGAATGCAGACTGTAGGCTGGTGATCAGATGGTCAATTATGTGTTTGTCAAAACATAGTGGGCTGCATTCCAGACTGCCAGCTTTGGAAGCCCAGCTTCTGCCAACCAAATGTCATTTGGGAACATGCAACACTGGGCACTGTGAAGGAGTTTGAAATAGACCATGCCACAGCCAACCTACTGCCAGTCTTATAGCACCAATATGGCATGCACAGCCGGGCCCCATGTTTCAGAGCTCAGGAATTCACTGTACTAAATTCAAGAGGTCAGATGGGTTCATGTTTTCAAAGCCCCCGTTCTCTGCTTTGAACATTGTGACTTGCTCCTCAGTGATTTCCAAGTGATTTTTCTAGTCATATCTCTGTAGAAACCACCCTTTTTGTGATGGTTATGAGAGCCTTGTAGAAGTCCCAAAGGAAAGAAAAAATAATAATAATTAACTCCCTCTGACAATGACTGTGATCCAACAGAGGGATTCCAACTCTTAGGAAATTACATTAAAGGTGCATAGCTTTTAAAATATCAGGAACCACCTTGGCAACTTATAAAAAGCAGAAGGGCTTTGCCTATTTTATAAAGTGATTTGCATATACCTGCATAAATAATGTCCCCACCTGTACTTTTATGCATTTAGGTTGAATAAATTAAATTCAGTGATCTTTAAAATATTCACTGTCTTTCATTGCTCAGATACCATTTTCGGGACCCTTCCTTCTAATTTTTTTTCCTGTGGTAGTAGTGGCTATTTTTTTCAATCTTTCGACTAATTCAGAGAATCAAAACACTCTGCAGACCAGCCTACCACACCTAAGAGCATTACCTCCCTCTGCTTGCATTTCTCTTAGCCTTTCTGCCTATCAGACCATGCGTTCCATATGCTTTTTATAAAGGAAAATGGGAGAGTATATGACCAGGATGAAAACTCAGCACATAATAGGATTAAGCTTCACTACCTGTACCTGACTGTGCTCGTACACAGCTCAGGGACATACTCACAGTAACGTTTATTGTGGGGTTTTTTTTTCCCCCTTTGGCCACTGCCACCACCCCTTCAGAAACCATCTAGCCACTAAACTATGTTAATTGTAACTTGATCCTTCAAATCACAACCTGATCAGTGGACCAGCCTCAAGCACAACCATCCCATAAGATATTATTAAACACTTACCACACAAAAAGAATTGTGTTTAGTAAGGAGCTAAAACATAAATCTAGGACATTGCCCTTGCCTGCTCTTAAGAAACTCAAAATTGGATTAGGAAAAGAAGTTATGACTGTTGAGTATTCTGTATACATATGAGACAATAAGTGACAATTCCAAAAGGAATTATACAGTCCAATAGGTACTATAGGATTTCATTCATGAAAGAGGACCTTGAGGGCTGGAAAGCTTCATGTGAAATGTGATTTAGCTGGGGCTTGAAAAATGGCTAGAATATAAAAGAAGGTGAACACCAAAAGAATGATATCCCAAGCAGAAGCATAAATCTCAGTGTTAGAAACTTTAAGGGGGTCCAGTAAATGGCACTGCATTTTCCCACTCACGTTCTAAACCCATTGAAAAATAAGACAAAAGAACTGATAGCTGGGGAATAAGAATTTACTACTGAGTGAGATGAAAGTGAGAACCATAGCCAAGAGGCCAAACAAGGTACTCATCTAAGGAGACGTACCTGGGGTAACCTGTAGTCATAGAATTATTGGAGATCTAAACTAAGGGTTCCTTTTCAGACTCTCAGAGTTACCTGAATCAAAACCCAAGGGAACAGATGAGAAATTGAGATAATGAACTAAAACCTCATTGGGGAAAAAAATACAAAAACTCTTATCTTTAGTTAAACTAATAATCACAATAAGAAATAGCATGTGTTGAGTGCTTGCCTTGCTTTAGGCACTGGGAAGAAATACTTCTAACAGCTACCTGGTTTAACCTTTAAAACTACTCCTATTAAGGAGATGCTGTTATAATCCTAATTTTGAAGATGAAACAGAGATTGAGCATGTTTGAGTAATTTTTTCAAGGATGCCTAGTATGTAATATAGAACTTGAAACCAAGACTATCTGTCTTAAAAGCCTTGGCCAAATATCATCAAACACGAAGCGAATGTCTATAAATGCAGAAGATATAATGACAAACAAAACAGACATGGTCTCTGCCCTATTCAAGTTACAACCTGGGGGATGGAAGACATATTAATCAAATGGACACACAAAATAACTTATAATTACAAACTGTACTTGCTGGCATGAATAAAATTTCCAGGAACTCTAGGAGCAAATTTAAGAGGGGGATCTAAGTGAGTCTACGAGTTCATGAGGAGCTTCCCTGGAAAGTGATATTTGAGCTAACATGTGAAGATGAAAAACAAATGAGATTAGGTGGTGGTAGAGGTTTCTAAGCAAGGGGTGCAGCATAGATGAAGGCATCAAATATAGTTGGGTGGAGAGAATTTAATGAAGAACAGCCCAGATTAAGGTTGAAAAGATATATGATGATGTCAGGATCTTTGCAGGTCACATTAAAGACCTTTCTAAGGACAATGGGAAAGCAAACTTAAGGAATGTAACATGATCAATTTTGTATTCTAAAAAGATCACGCTACTCTTGCACATTTATTGCAGACAGATGGAAACATATCTGCACAAAAACCTGTACACCAATGTTTATAACAGCCTTTTTCGTAATATCCCCACACTGGAAACAACCCAAATTACCTTCAATGAGTGAGTGGTTAAACAAACTGTGGTATATCCATACCATGGAATACTTCTCAGCATTAAAGAGTAACCCCTGACACATAAAATTTGGATTAATCACAAAGGTATTATGCTGAGTGAAAAATGCCAATCTCAAGATTACATATTCTATTTATATGGCATTCTTGAAATAACAAAACTATAAAGATGAAGAACAAATTAGTGGCTAACAAAAGTTAAGGAGCAGGGGAAAGATGGAGCTGCCTATGGCTATCAAGGGTAGCACGAGATAACCTTATGATGGCACTATTCTGTATCTTGACTGTGGTAGTGCTCATGCAAATCTATGTAGGTGATACAGTTGTGTAGAACTAAATATACACATGCACAGACATGCACACACACACAAGTGCGTAGAAAACTGGTGAAATCTGAATAAGGCGGATGGATTGTACCATTGTAAAAACAAGGCCAATTTCCCTGATTGTGATATTCTACTATGGTTATATAAGATATTACCACTAGGTGAAACTGGGTAAAGGGTATACAGAGATCTCTCTGTGTTATCTCTTACAACTGCATACTAATCTGCAATAATCTTAAAATTAAAAGTTAAAAAAGTTCAAGCTACTCCATTGCGATGAATGATTTTGCAGGAACAAAAGTAAGGAAGCCCTTGTAGCATAGCTTATAAGGACTAGGCTAATGACTGGGAATGGAAGAAAAATAATGGAAAAGAGAGATAATGCAGATCCAAGATATACAGGATATTCTCATGGATTGGACGTGGGAGATGGAGGAGAGAGAAACAACAACTGTGACTACTGGTTTTATGCTCATAAAACTGTTTGGAGTTTGGTGCCATTCACAGTTGTATGAAATACCAAAGGACAATGGGAATTGAGGGAAGATTACAAGCTCTATTTCTGAGATGTCTAGTGTGAGGTGTTTTTGATAAGATAAGTGAGATATTGACTAGGCAGTAGAATATATACAACTGGAAATCAGAAGTAGAGTGAAGGCAAGTGAGGCTTTTGGCATGGAAGATACTGCCCAAGCCCAGGAGTAGATTTAGGAGAAGGCCCAAACCGAGACTTGAGGAACTCTTACTATTTAATCAGATGGGAGCAAAAACTGAGGCTATGCGAAATAGCCTCAGAAGGACCAGCTAAGGAGGTAGGAGGAAAACCAGAAAACACTGGCACAGTGGCCAAGAGAAGAGAGTGTTTTGAAGAGGGTGGTCAGTAGTGAGACGTGCTGTTGAGAAGTCAGGTCAGTAAGGGACTGAAAAAATGCATTTAATATATTAATGTGGAGGTTGCTGACTTTGGCAAAAGCTGTTTTGTTAAAGTGGTAGAAGCAATAACCTGTTTGTTATGGGGAAAGAGTGAGAGGTGAAGAAATAGAGACCACAAGTAGATAACTCTTAGAAGTTTTGCTTCTACTACTCTACTTTACTCCTCCAGAGAGTGGTTTTCCAAATGATAGCTCCTAGGGGCCAGGGTCCTGCTAAAAATAAGTGAGGTGGAGATTTGAGGAAAGTGGAAGTTCAGAATAGTTCCTGTGACAAATGGGATAGCAAGTTGACCAGACAGTCTCCTTGGCAGTGTGGAAGCCCTAGGTGAATCTGGTGGTTTAATGTTGATACCCATTTGCCTTGGGGTGATTTTTTCCAGCAGCTCAGCGACCAAGTTGGAAGCTCAGAAGAGATGTGTGTTTGAGTTCAAATTAAAATGGGGTTTTACCTAGGTATGTGTGAAAAGACATTAGGGGTTTTAGTTTCTTTTTTTCTTTTTTCTTCTAGATGAGGCTAATATAGAAGGCAGTAAAAAAGGCTCAGTTCAATTCTCCAGGTAGCTAGTGAGCATTTATATTACACCAAGCACTGTGTTGCATACAGAAAAAAACAGAGGTGAAAAAGGTACCATCCCTGTCCTCAAGTAGCTCATAGTAATGGGAAGTTTGAAGGTTGCCATTTGGTCCAAAAGGCCAGGAACATGTGGTTAGATAACTTTTGTCAAAAGACACAGAAACCCATGTCGATCTTTCTTTCTTCTGCCACCTCCTTCCTCCCATGCTGGCATTACCTAGTTACTTTCTTGCTTTCTCAAAAAATATCTACTGCCTGCCTCATTGCCAAGCCTCTAACATGCATCGTATACATTTAAGTGACAATTCTGACTTCTCCCATCATCATTTTGCTAAAATGTGATCATTTAGGAACAATTAAATGTTCTACTTGAAGTGTCGTGTTAGTACTGTATGAATTTTCTCTAAATTTTAAGAGCTGGCATCTAAGAAAGGCTATGTACTTAAAGGAGGGAGGGAGAGAAAAAGAGTGGGTAGATAAGTGGAGGAAGGAAAGGAAGAAGAAAGGAAGAGGGAAAGTAGCAAAGGAAAGGAAAAGAAAACTAACTACAGAAGATCTTATGTAGCAATCCACCCTTATTTTTAAAAGAATAACTGAGCCTCCATTCCCAGTAGTGACCTACACCATCAGCCTCACCAAAAGACTTCCAGACATGGGGACAGACCAGAATACTGTAGAATAATTAAATTCCACCATCTGGCAACATAAGAAGAAAACCTAAAGCACGTGGAAATTCCTAATTTCCAGTAGAAGTAGGATTCCTTACTCGGGTTTATTCTAAGCATTAAGAAATGGTAACAGAAATAGGTGGCAGTAATGGTAGCTTTCCTTTATTTGAACACATTCCATTCTGCTAGATTCCTTTAGGAAATGACATTAGGGCCATTTGACTCAAAACTAAATCGCAGATACATCTGGGGTAGGATTTGTCAGCTGCTGAGCAAAGCAGCTGTAGTTTTTTAATATTTACTTCTTTCATGACTCTATAATTCACACATAATATTAAATATTAAGAAACCATAGAGTACAGAGAAAACATCTATAATGTCACTATATGGAAACAACTATTATTTACAAATTTTTAGATCACCTTCTAGTCTCTTCTCTGGATTTTCACAGAATTGGGCATACACTGTATGTACAGAGTTGCATCCTATTTTTTAATTAAATACTATTAATTAAAAAATTAAAATGCTTCCTGGTATAATTACAAACTCTTTTTTTAAGTGCCACTCTACTATCTAAATAATTGTTATCAGTCATATAACCCCCTAGAATTTACCGAACTGTGCCCTCTATATAGATATTTGGGTTATTTCCAGAATTTCAGTTTTAAAGTCCTGTAAGGCAGGAACTACAATGTATCATATGCAATTGTCCAGCCTGGAGGAAAGTTGATGCAGGCAGTGATGTCACCCATCAGGAAAATGGTCAGGCAGTAATGTCATCCAATTAAGAGTGTTACTAATTGCTAATGACGAAACTCATATTTGAATTTTTAAGTAGCTGTTACGAGGTTTATCTAAGCTCTTTTTCCTCCAAAGTAAAAGTTCTGACTTTTATTTCTAAAGAGCATACACGTAGTTTTGTTTGAATTTATTACGATGATGATATAAAAAGAACATAAAATCCATTCAAAATCTCGCCTCCCAGAGAGAACCACTAGTAATGCTTTCGGAAATATAT